TGCAACCCTAAAGACAAACAGATTCTTTCAAGCAAAAATCTAGTAAATGAAAAGTTGGACAGAGAGAAGGGAGGCAATCCTAACCTACCCAAACAGATCAGTCTTAAAGACACCCGTGAGCACCAAGAGCTCAAGGGGTGCATTCTTTTCAAGGCACAAAATAAATACCCGTAGGCACAGGCAGCAGGATGTCTGTTCCCAGTGAGGCTTTCTGTCAAACTTCAACAGCACATGAAAGCTCCAGGCATTTATTCAAATGTTAAAAAGCAAACCCAGCACACACGTATCAAGGCTTCTTGCAAGGATTAGGAACAAAGTCACATGTAAGCAAAAGAATAGCTTCAGCTAAGCTACTCCACAATACAGTTTATATAGGCAAATGTTTGGGCTGGGTGCCCCGAGTGGTAAGGGCTCGCTTGGGAAACAGGATCAGCCCCAGATGACCATGCAAGTGCCCACCAAAGCAGAGACCTTCGAGTGGCGCCGTCCTGATATACAGGAACATCAGATATTCCCTTGGTGACAGTAAGAAAAGGAAATTAAAACCCCAACTTCCTTCATTCAAAATTCCTCTCCTGCCTCACGAAGCAGCAGGTCTGACCTGTTGCTGTTTGAAGCCTGAAGCATCACCACACACTGCACCAAGGCTCTGCATAGTGCCGGGATGCGAACAAGCCACGCAAGCAGCATTCAGGCACCTGGCTGTGGCTGCAGCATTGCTCTGTGCTGGTGACCCCTGTATGAAGAAGGCTAAAACCAGATTTCCACTCCTCCTCACATCTGCACCCTGACCTCTCAGTGCCGCCTCCCCTCCTGCTTCAGCCCCAATTACAGCTGGAAGGCAGCGGCACGCAGCCGAGCGGTGCCTGCCTCCACCCCCTCCACCACCCAGCCGGGGCACCGGCACGGTGCTGAACCCCAGCCAGCGCCGCCACAGCCAGCATCATTGCGGAGAAGTTACCTGACCTTATAACGAGGGACATCCACTGCCGACACTGGTGAATGGGTGCAGCCACACGCCGTAGCAGTCTGTACAGGCACTGTGCACCCGGTGCAGCCCTGGTGGGAATCCTCCTCCAGAAAGGGGTGCTGCGGTGAGCCCCCTCCCTTCCACACAGGCTCTCCTGCCCCATCGCCTTTCGCACAAAAAAATCTGCGTCGGCCTCTCGGCCGTCCTTCTGCCCATCCGCCTGGACTGGAAAGGTTGTTTGGTAAACTCAATATGCACTGAATTTGGGTTTTTTGTGGCTGTGGGGTTTTCTTTGGAGGACACTGTGCCTTAGTGTCTGGAGACACCCTGGAGATAGAAGCAAGCTGGGTACATTTAACTACAAGATGACAGATTCGGAAGTTTTTGCAGCTTCAATAAAACTCTCAACAGCTATAGAACATTTTTTTTCTGTGTTAATTTAATCATACAAATATTCATTTATACATCAAGGAAAAAGCTTCCTTTATTTTGACCCCAAATGTGCTATCATAGGACTTCTCCCAGACTCAATGAGGCAACACACCATCCTGTTCTACACATGCACTCCCCCCAGAGAGAATAGACAGGCTGCAGAACCACCCACGCACTCACACACAAAAAAAAATTAAACACACAACAGAAACCCAGACGTGGGACAGCGTGCATTTCCTAACCCTGCGGGCTCCAGCTGCTCTCATGCCCACGCGCTCTCCCACCGCATGGCTTTGCCCCTCGGTGGCGGAGCCGCCTCTTCCAAACCTCGGAGGGGTCTGAATCCAACGCTCCTGAGATGTGGGCAGCAGATTCCAGCTCCCCCCAGCCCCTCATGTGGCGTTGCCAGTTTTGGGCTGGTCCTAGGGATATCGTGCTCCAGTTTGCCTAGGCTGCCGTTGCTGAAGTCGCGTTAGCGATACGGTTCCACATCCGTAGTGGCTCATGCTTGACACAGGGATCCATTTTAAAGACCATCAGAGATGTTCTGCGTTATCTTTTTTCTTTTGGAGGGGTGGGGGGTAAGGAAGATCTCTCTTTCCGTCCTCCAGGACTTCAAGACAGATGGGTGTTAACCAGACCGGAGGCCATTGCAGCCTCTCTGTCGCTGCACCCTCCCATACTAGTGGGTACCAGCCCCATCCCTGCCCCAGTCAGGAACACCAGCCTCACTGGGGGTAACAGTCTCTTCACTGGTTCACCAGTCTCAACCCGGTAAGGATTTCCTCCCATTTCTAACAGGCCTGAGTTCTGTCTGCCTAACTCACCTGGATCGGGTTATCCGAGCCACCGCACGCACTTCAGGCTCACCAAAATATTTGGCATTCAGCACTTCTGAAAAATCAGGCCATTTGTTTCACGTATCTGATGTTAAGACTCCGCGAGTTTGAATGCATCAGCCCTACGGAAACCAATACAATCACAGTGCCCTGAAGTCACCTGGAAAGAGCTTTGCTGAATACATCTCAAATCCCCCTGTTTAAAAGCTGGAAACCTGACAGCAAGAGCAATTTGAGGGCTGGCTGCACCGCTAAGCTCCAAGGAACCAGAGGAGATAAAACCACCTTTGGCCTCAGTGAAACAGTTTTTACTCGAGGAAAAACCCAGAGGTAGAGCAACCACTAATTTAAACGTTCTTCCACTGTCACAGCCGGGGTTACAACCCCAACCCTCAAAGCATCCAGAGCTCTGTGCCCTTGTTTGCAGAGAGATCATTCCCGCAAAGAGCGCTCACACTCAGCCCGGGGGAAGACCGGTGATGTGAGCAGCAAGAGGCTGCAGATTGCAGCAGCAACTCGGATCTGGCCCTGCCTTTCTTCACACCCTGGAGTAACTGACCCTTGTCACAAGGACACCACGGACTGAGAACACTCAGGAGAGAGAATTCAAGTCTGTGCAGAACAAGTGTGCCTTCTGAGCGGGAAAGCACACGGCTACTTGGGGTGCATACAAGATTTTTTTTTCAAATAAAAGGAAAAATTCAGTCTTAGGAAGAGCACAGGAACACGAATGTGGCAGCCATTATATATGGGAGCGGCATATGTGGCTGGGAGCAGAAGAAAGCCAGCGTGGGGGTATCCGAGTTGAAGGGTCTCCCAGATGCCACAGCTGACACAAGGCAAGGTTGCAGCACCAGCTATAACGTACAGACTCAGATCTTAATTCCCGCCCCCCCTTCCACTAAACAGCTGATAAAAGGAGCTAATAAAGATAAGGAATCACCTTGTCACTTGGACAAACAGCAGTCTCCAGCGGTTTAGACACCTTCAGAAGGGAAGCGGCAGCGTTGTAAGAGGTGTGATGGTCAGGTACGCGGTCATGCCTTCAGAGCTTGTCACAAAAGCCACCTGCTCAGAAAGGAGGGAGTGAAGAAAGAATCCACTTGCCCACACTACACTACAGCAATGCAAATCATTCCCTAGACTGAATGCTAAAGGAGATAACTAATCCAAGGCAAAATGTTGTTACAGGACAAGAACCAAACACTGCAGCTGCACTGAGCAGCGCAGCACCACCTTCCACAGGGTCACTCTGGAGCTTAACACTCACCCAGCTCTAGCAAGCTGCCAAGAAAGACCCAGGCGCTCACCAAACTGCAAGTGCAAATGGCTAGCAGTCCAAATCCTGCAGTGCCGCTTCTGTGCAGATAATTTCTACATTATACTTGTTTCTCCCAGCAAACAGATTTTTGAAGGCAGACTTCAGGTAACAGTGACCTTTAACAACTGAACCTCTGAAATCCAAACAAAAGTTATCGCTCAATTCTTCCTCTGTTGGATACAAGGAACTCCCACTGGATCCATCTGTATGCACTAAGATAAGAGAGTCCTTGGTGGCTGCAATGAAAATGAATCCCCCATTCAAAACCAATCATGAAAATACAAGTCAAGAGCAATCAGCGTAAAGCCACGCACCATGCAGCAAGCCTGTGCTCTGCTCCAACAAGCAGAACAAGAGTCTCCACTGGAAACATCTGGAAGAAGGTAGTAGGAGCTTTGCATATTACCGTATCTTTGGCAGATGGCTGTTCCAGCCTTGTTCGCGTTTCTGAAGGAGACTGTGTCCTCTCACCTCACTCCCCTTCAGCAGGATTTGTGGCAACACAGCACCTCAGAAATCCACCACAGCACTCGAGGCCACTCTCCCTCCCCTCACACTGGACTTCCCAATCCATAACTGGAGGAAAATACATTGGAGGAACAGCAGAGGAACCTCCGAATCCTTAGAGGAGTGATTCCTCCTCTAATACCAAGTCCTGGAGAGCCCATTTAGAAGGTAAGAGTCTCAACAAAGCTACAAGCCAGGACGATAAGGGCAAGTGAATACAAGGCGACAGAGTGGAATCCAGCTGACGATGCTAACTCTTGCTCTGCATTCAAAAATGCAAACAATTATCCTCTAAGCTAATACTTCATCACAGGAGAAATGAATTCAAACTTATGTTCTATAAGAGAGAGATGGGAGATGCAAAATTAAAAGGACATGACTTTTTTAAAGCTTTGCAACTACTACCAAGTGAATTACAGCTACAGAAAAAGAGTTTCCTCTTGGCACAAGACTGATACGCTTGCTTGGTTGCTCTAGGCACAGCTAGTGTACATCAAGAGTTAACAAAAAGGTATTTTAAAACGCTAACCACATAGGACAGCTCTGGAACTTCAACAACTCTGTTTCTTATTAATATGGGTGTGTATTTGTGTGTAATTCATGTACAAGGGGAAAGGAAATAAGCCCTCCATGTTATCCTATAAGTCCCAGAGTTTTTCTCTCCAACTTTGATACCGAGACCTGGTCTTCAGCCTGGTTTCCAATGACATGCAGGACAACTAACAGCAACACCCAAACCAAAAGAGGGGGGGGGGGGGGGGGGGGGCAACCCGAAAACAAAAGGGGGGGGGGGGGGAGGGGGGAAGGAATATGAGAAGATTAAAAAGTTGGTAACTAAAAACCAGCAGATGATATTAAAAATGCAGAGCTGGGTGCAGACCCAACCTGTCATTAAAAAATGTCCAACAAAAAGAAGTCACTGCACAAACCCCAGAGGATGCTAAGCAGATTCCCATTCGGTAGCAAGCAAAACATGACAGTTCCATAAAAATGCACGCTGTCCCTTATTTAAAAAAATATGAACAAGAAACAAACAGAAATTAAACATTTGCTCAAACTACAACCGGTCTGTAGGCAAAATATTTTTTTTAAAGATGGCTTTTTCATTTTCATTTTTTAAACTTCTTTTTAAGCTACCTAATTATGTGTGAGCATGATTTCTAAAAGAACCCCATGGTGTTGGTATATTTTCTTTCTCATAGCATTAAACAACACTCCTGAAATCCAGCATTCACACATGCATACTTAGATTTCGTATTTTCCTCTGGAAACAGCTAGTCTTAAGTTACTGGGCTTTTGTTTTTTCTTCTTTATCCAGAACACGGAGGCAGAGAAGGGGGGTCCATGTTGTGTCTGTCTGCCACATGAATCCCCCTCCCTTCCCCCAAAAGTCAGTTCTTTGTTAAATTCTCCTCTTGTCGATACCCGTTTTGTGTTTTAAGACTGTCCGAAGGGATAAGGACCGTGGAAACCCTGAAAGAAAGTTGGAGACATAATCAATTTCAATAGGCAAGAAATAAAATTGATCAGCGTATGCCTTCAAATACTGACCATCCCATCCCAGTACTTCTAAACCAAATGCAACCCTTTACCCACCAACATGACCTTTGCTGTCCAGCCTCATGAAACACTCTTAAAACATAGGTTTTGGTGTTTGTAGCTGGTTTCCCCAAAGATGTCAGATGTTATCTACTTACCTCTTTCAGGTTCTAATTAGGCCAGGTAATAGCCAGGTGTTACTGGGCCACAAACTAACTTGTGGTGGTTTTCTACACCAGAGCAAAAATCCCCTATAGATCTACAACACCTGCAAGGCCAAGCAACTGCAGTTTCACAAGTCTATTCTAAAGATTACAGCAAACAGTTAAGAGGCTGTAATTGGGAAAAGAGTCTGTTTAGGAACAAAAAAAAACCAACAGGATTTGGCAATCCATGCTCCCACAACTGCCGCTTTTGCTCTCTCAAGTTAACAATATACACTTTCCTCAAGTGAAAATCAACTACAACATTTAACCAAAGAAATCAAAATGCTTACTACAGAATCCATTTTCCCTCCTTTACATCCTGAAGTGCGTCACCTAAATGACAGATCTAGTACCAGGTCTCAAATTAACAGGAACTCCTTTCTGTAATTTCTGTTGTTCAAATCAACCATCCAGGGTTTCATCAGGAAGCAAAAGAAAGCGACCAACAGGCAGGGAAGAGATCTCTCAAGTCACAGGGATACAAAGTTTGTCATAATGATGAAGATACAAACCACACACAAAATCCTCCTGTAAGATCCAGACCCATACTCGGGTTAGAAGCAAGACAAGGGAGAAAAGCTCATTATATTTTATTGTCAAAGCTGGAAGACCATTATGCAAATGTTTTTTTTTTTAACACAGTCCAGCTTCTTTCCAGCATGCTGATGAGTAAGACAGCAGAGAGCCCAATTAGCACAAAGCCATTCTCGGTCTTTAAGCAAAGCTCTGACTTCAGTTTTCACCATTTTGCCTTTAACAGGGCAAGTCTCAAAGGAAACGCCGTTTCCTGCATGTTCTCCTACACCTCTGACAACCTCGCTGCGTGAGCCAGAGCCACGAAGCAATGGGTCTCTAACATGACTTGTATAACGAAAGTACCAGCTTCATCAGCTTAAGCCCAGTTGCAAAAACACAAGTTCAAGAGCTCTGTTGTATATCTATGTTCTAAAGGAAGTGCTATAAGAAGCCTATAACCTTGCTACAGCTGGTGACAAAAAGTTAATTCTTTAGAATATATCAGGTGGCAAAATACAAGACAAGGTAAAATGAAGCATCTATCAGCAGCTCTCAAAATTCAACCAAGAGAGTATTAAAGGCAATTAAACAGGAATCTCGGGAACCAAGTGGGAAGTACAGAAGACTGGAAATTGCTGTTTGCAGCCAGAAATACATGCAAGTGGTGGAAAAACAAACACGCTTCTACCCTAGGAATATGCTGCACTCCCAGTTTATAAAGCAAGCTTTTCAAGAGATAACACCCAGCAGAGTCCAGCACAATAGTTCACCTCAGAAAGGAGAAACTCCCACCAAAATCAAGAGACTGAGATACTCAACATTTCTGAAAAATTCAGTCACTGAAACAGGGAGAAGAGGAAGAGCAGAAGAGAATCATTAAAATAATGCGAATGGGTCACAAAAACCCCCAAAGGACACAGAAAGAAAACAATGTTATCACCAAGATCCTAAGCAGTCTCACCTGAAAGGGGTTAAGCTATTGCACTTATTGCTCTACAGAAGAAAAACGGGATTTGTTGCCGATTACCTGTACAGACCCATTTGCCAGAATTTGCTTCATCTTTTAGTTACCTGCCCATAAGGCTTTGTTTGCAGATGCCGACTGGCAAGCACTCGCAAGCCTGACAAGAGTGGTTTAAACATCAGCTGCTCCCAGCTGCCCACTGCCTCTGCTGGGGGCTACCGACCGCATGGCGGAGCCAGCCGCATACCGTTCCTGTACTTCACAGCTTACGTCGCAGGCAAAACCTTGTTGATTTAATTTGTGCACGCCGTAAGCCAAGACATCTGCATCACCCCATCACATAAAAGAATTAACACAGTTAATCAGTACACAGTCCAGGTCCTCAGCTTAAGTCAGACATGAGAACAGTTCATTAGTCTTTTTGTATGCAGAGAGAGACCCTGTAAAGTGGCTATTAACCTTGTTTTCCAGGAAACCCTCTGGATCTTCAGATACTGTTTTCTGTAGCATCTAATTTAAAGCTACACAATTATGCTAATCGTGTTAATTAAAACCAGAATTTAGCTCACCTTCAGAGTGTCAGATTACTAAGTGTATCAGTAAGTATATCAGTAAAGTACCAGCTTTGTACCACTTGCTACACTGACACAGGCTGACATCTCTAGATGAGCTTCACTCATGAGCCATTCCAAGAACAGCCCCAGAATCTGTGACCAAGGTGAGCTTCTCCTGCTGCAATGAATTTCACCAAGAAGAAAAAGCCCAAAATGTTTGCTTTTGGGACTGCCGCTCTTCACTGCATTTCACTTACCCGTGAGATTTATTAGTGTACACGAGAGAACTTATGAAATTAAAAAACACTTGTTTCTTTTCTTTAAGATCGAGTGTAGACTTGGTTTAACATCCGACCCTGAGCAAGAAACTGTTCCTCCCCTTTGTGAAAAGAGGATACTTTCTTTCTTCTTCCTCAGTAAGATGCAAGCTCTCTGCAGAGCAATTGTTTCTCATTACATTTATTCAACACGCACACTGTAACAGTCTTGATACCTGAAAACTTCAGTTACTGCTGCAACGCAAATACCAAAATCCATTATATGACATTTTCAAGAATAATTATCCCTTGTATGCAATGTTTTACATCATAAACATGCAAAAATAATTCTGCATACAATTGCAGTTTTTCTAAGTTATTTCAGCTGAAGAATTATTCACACTATTTTTGGTGAATTCCCTTCTATTCTCAAAATGAGATCACTGTCTTTATGAAAAGCTCAGCTGCAGCTTTGCAAATTTACTTTCAGTTCTTCCAATATCTTCCACAGAAGTAATTGCTAACTTGCTAGTGAAAGCATACTTGCCATTCATACAGATAAATATGTGAGAACAGAGGACCATGTTTTTTCAAGAAAAGGCTCTACATGAAAATTATTGGTGTAAATTATCATTTGACTTCTGTATCTAGAAGGGAATTGAGATGTTTGGGAAAGTTAAAAGGCCTCTGTAAATACTGAGCTCTTTAAATGAAGGCACCTGTGCTAGAAATAAAATGAAGATTAAGTTAATCTTTCATAAACCATCACAACACAGGCTTTCAAATAGCTATCTTTATTTCACCTTTGTGACTCAGTCAAGATCAATAAAAGGTACACTTCAAGAGAGACAGGAGTTTCTGATGCACAGCTGCAAAGCAATACAGGCGTCTCCCAGTGTACACTGACAGTAGCATCAGACAACGCTACAAGTCCCCGGTTCCTCGTCACCTCCTGGGCTGCTCCTAGTCAGCGCTGCTCCAAACTACGCAGCGTTCTCTTGACTAACTTACGTAAACTGAACACAAACAGAAGAACAAAGTATTGAGCACTTTTTTTTTTTTTAATTCCATGCATGCTGTGCAAACATGGCGTGGCAGTTAAGACCACCAGGAAGTTAAGAACCTTCTCACAGTGCAGCCGCTCGCAGGGCTGGTTTAGGTGCACACAGCTGATGAAGTACATGAGGGCTCAGGTTAAGTTACCATGCAACAACTTAGCTCTTGTAACTTAATCAATGGCGTGCTTTTAGTCTGCAGAGATAAAAGGACAGGGAAACTCTGTTGGCCTGCAATGGAGCAAAGTTAAGCTAAAATCAGATTATCTCACATTTCCCACAGTCCAAAAGCACACGGACTGTCGGTTTTCATGGATGAGCTAACATGCAGCATCCAAACACATTAGTCTTTCACCAGATAAGCAAACCAGCTCATGCAACATCAGTTTAGCCTGCAGATGCTATGCAGCAGTGTGGCTGTCAAAGAGCAGCTACGGTAGTTTTGAGTCCAACGTTCTCCCACTTTGTTCTAAATGAATTTAACCACATGGTAACTAGCCCAGTTTGAAGTCCAGATACCAGAATGGAAGGAGCTTCCCTTCTACATGGATGCAAACATTTCTGGGGCATCTTCCTTACCCACAAATATAGTTTGGTACCCAAATAGTTTCCAGTGAAAACATTTCTGTCTAAAGTTTACAGAGTTACTCCAAAAATATGCAAATTGGAGTGCCCTGGTTTGGAAGAAGCACGCATCTAGAAGGAGCAGCAACTTTAAACTCAGAGAGGGGAAGCCACTTAAAGGCTCTAAGAATAGAGAGAGGTTTGGTTTCCCCTTACGTATAGAAAGCTGTCAAGTAGCATGGATCACAGTTCAGCTCCACACCGAATGAAGTAAGATGGGGAGCATAAATACAGCAGGAAAAAAGGTGTTAAGATTTTAATTTTGTGAACTCCAAATATGTTTATATTTCATTGGTCTTTTAAGAGTAGCATGAGTAACGAACAGAACAGATTAATACCAGACAAGCTGTAGAACACCCTTTGCTATGGCAGTGACTATGCAAATTGTTCTGTATGGGCAAATCCTTGCAGGACCAGAACTTCTACATGCAGTTTTCTGCATTACACAGAAAGCAATAATTCCTCAGTTCATATGGGCAACAGATTTAGAGATATATACATTTTATATATAGGTGGCAAGTACAATCTGAATGTCAGTATATGGCTATCCACTTCAGGTCTTTTTAGACATTTAAACCTGTACGTTTCTTTCCTTAGTTAAGAAATTTAACTCTAACTCCACAGGCACCATAAGACTGCATCTTGCGCTTTTAATGTAAAAGACTGTCACAAGAGAGCAGCAATGACCTCGACAGTGTTGCTATGAGACAGGAGCGAGTAAATAGAAGGAAGCTATATTAGCCTCATCTCTCTCGAGAATACAGAGAGAAAGCGATTGCCAAAGAGGAGAATAAAATACCCATGCATGGGTATATCTGGACTCTAATACAGCTCATCCCTACCCTGAGATAAGCATCCTATCCTGCACTTAAGCACATCTTTAATTCTAAGAACATGCAAAAACTCCACTGGGAATAGATATAACAACAACATGCTTAAAGCAATGTCCTGACCAGAGACCCTGATCTACAACCTTCCAGCAGTTTATTTGGCAAGGTGAGCAGGGTGGACCCAGGGAAGGCATACACTACAGCAGG